TTTTACTTATTTTTTTATATAAGCAAAATCATATATTTTAATAAGTATTTATTACATATTTTTTAAATTGCCCCTCATAATTTAAATTAACAAGAAATAATTAATGCATGCTTATGTTGATTAACATAAGGTATTTTAATCTAATTTTTTTATTTTCAGACATAATTATTATGATTAACAAACTTTCTTAAATTGTGTGATGCAGTTTTTTTTCTCTTATATAAAGAAATGGAGGAAGTACATGCACTAGCTCGGGATAAGAAAAGGAAAAGCACCAGAGACATAGGAATAGTTATTCTTACTATAGTGCCTCACTATTTTATTTACTATATGCGTAATTGAATGTGATATTGCCAACTAAAGAATTATTTTGGTTATACTTGCATTATTAGCATACATTATTAGGCTGGATGTATTTTGGGCCTTAGAGTCATTGTTATGCAATTAAGTTATCTCGTTAGGGCTAAAATATTGATGTAAGTATAGTTATATTTGTATTGTTACCAATAAATGATTATTTTAGAACATGCAATGCTAAGAACCTACCTTTTTTGTTTTCTATAACAAGAAGTTTAGGGTTAAAAATGAGATTTATATGTGATATGAATGTTGTGGTGTGTTGCACAAGTTGTCTTAAATCTTTTAAGTATAGTTTAGGTGTCGAGTTGAGCTTTTAGCAAATTGTTTGGGTTTTGGACATCTTGTTGTGGTTATGTGTGAATAAGTGATTGAAATGCATATGGATATCTAATTTTCTCGTGTGAAATAATTTAAGAGTGAAATCCATGTCATTAGCTAGTTTTTAAAAAGAACTTTCCATAGACATCTTAATTGCCTCGATTGGACATCAGATAGAGAAATGAGGTATGTCAAAAGTTCAAACCTTGTGCTATCAAATGACAACACAACAGTGTTAAAATCTATGCAAGACGCCATGACTTATGGCATAGAAAGGAGCAAGCCATGAGGGAGTATCCTATGCCATGGCTTACCCTTCTGTTATGTATTTCTTGGTATTTTTAACACATTTTCAATTATTTAAGTATCAATTGGTATCACGCGCTTCTAAAAATGTACATACTCTAATTTACACTCGTTTTATTTGGTTTGACATTGTTTTAACAATTGAAAAACTTAGGATCCTACTTGATTGTTTTTATGATTTGTTTATTTTAACTATTGTTAACTTGTTTTCAAATGAGTTGGTAATCCGTTTGGGTTAGCTTTGTAATTATCATGGTAGACTTGGCTAAGTGCTGAAGTAATAAGGGTGATCTTACACTAGTATCATCATCATTGCTCCTCCTCCCCCATTGTCGTCATCCTCACCACAAAACCCAAAACCCTATTTCCCCTCCATGGCCATCCTCCCTCCATCCTCCCTCATCTAGGTTCTCTAGGTATGTCTCTTCCCTTTATTTTTTTAATTTATACATATGATGATTTTAGTTTAATTTTGGTTTTTGTTTTAAATTAATTATTTTAATTAGTTAATTATTTAGTTATTTTTAAATATTTTTGTTAATTACTTTTAATTAGTTATTATCTAATTGCTTACTGAGAAGTGTTGTTAGTGGCTGCTTCATGCCTTAGGTTGTTGCATGTGATTAAATTATTATTGAAGTTGACATTGTTTAAGTATAAAATTTTGTATTTTTTTACTTAATTTTTTTAGGCCCAATTTTTTAGGGAGACACTGTTGAAATTTTTTCAATTTCATTCTTGCCCCAACACTACTTCAAATTTAGTTGTTATTAATATTGATTATTGCTGAAAAAGTTGTTAATGGCTTCATAAGATCTTAGGTTGTTGCATTTGATCCCTTATTTGGTATAAAATTGTGAATTTTCCCTTGTAAAATTTTTTAAAAGTCTTAGGAGTTTCAATTTTTAGTGAAGAATCTACTGAAATTTTTTTAACTTTATTCTTTTCCCTAAATTACTTAAAATCTTATGTGAATTAGGAATTTAGAATTTTAAAATAGTTTGATTGTCATAACACATTAGTCTATTCTTCTTTAGATATTAACATATGAATTGTAGTTGGATCAATGCAAGATAAATGAGTAATGAACATGATAATGGGGTGAAAGAGTTTTTAAAATTTGTTAAGAAAAATGCTATTGACAATAGTAGAAGATTCTATTGTTCTTGTGTAAATTGCTTGAGTGAATGGATACTAGGTGTTGTTGAAATAAGAGAGCACTTAATTAGCGATGAGATTTACAAGAATTGTATGATATGAATTTGGCATGGTAAATGATTGAATCCTAGTAGTACATCTCAATATATAGAAGTTGATAATATTGATGAGAAGTATATACGAATGAAGATCGATTAGAGGACATGATCTATGATGCTAGGAAAGAGGCCTTTGAGCGAGCACATGTGTATGATAACTTTTGCATTAATGTGAAAAAGCCTCTATACTTAGGTGTACCGATTTTAGTCTATTGTCTAGAGTGTTAAAATTGGTTACGTTGAAGGCAAGAGCTAAGTGAAGTGACAAGAATTTTATACGGTTTCTAGATTTTCTCATATTAATGTTTTTGAAAGGCAATGTACTACCAAATTATTACTATAATACTAATATGATCTTGTGCCTGATGGGTACAAAGTACAAAAAGAAACATGCATGCCATAATGATTGCGTGTTGTACAAAAAAAGATTTTAAAGTGGAAGAAAAGTGTTTAAAATGTGACGCATCACGGTATAAAGAGAAAGAAGCCTCTATAAAGGCCTTATGTTATCTTTCAATTATACCAAGATTCAAGCAATTGCTTAAATTGATCAATTATTTCTTAAATTTGGCAATAAGCTAAGGAACCTCAAGCTCAGACTTTCTAATGATGGAATGAATTCTTATGATAGTTTTAACAATATACATAGTTCACAACCTGCTTTTTTTTGTGATTTACAACATATTACTTTGGTTGTGCATGAAATAGAAATACATGATACTATTCATGTTGATTTTGAGACAAAAACAACTTGTAAATGACATTGATTTTACCTAAGACCTTTGATTAAAAACTTGAAAGAGCTGTAGGAGGTAGGTGTGGAAGTGTTTGATGCAAATCGAAAGGAGAATTTTAAATTATATGATATAATCTTTTGCATTACAAACAATTTTCCTACATATGGGAATTTGTTTGGTTATAACATGAAGGGTCATAATGTATGTCCAATTTATGAAGAAGGCACAAGTAACTATCAATTCCAACATAGATGAAAGACAATCTACCTTATCAATGAGAGGTTTTTTAGATGAGCTCACCCTTATTGTAAATTAAAAAAAGCTTTTTATAGCCACTAAGGGCACAATCATGCTCTCACAGGGGTTAACACCATAAGCATTGTATGGGTAGAATGAGTAGAAGCTTTGCCACTAAGTCAAGTCCAACTTGGATTGGGGATAGTATCTAGTGAGGTATGGAATACTAATGTCAAAATAGTCCTGCAGGTTGTGTTTAATGAGAAGTCATGTGATGTTCTTCATTCTCGGTATGTAGATGCAACTAGAACCCCAATCTTTATCTTGGGAATGACAAAATCCCTTGTTATGCAACCCACGAAGATGAAGTGATTCCATCTATTGCATCTTTGATAGTAGGTTTGACTATTATCTTACAATGTTGATCGTGTTTCGCGGTGGTGGATTTTGACTACAAGTACTCCCCAATTGTGAGTTGAGCATATATTAGAGACCATTATGCATGGGTAAAAGGAATTGCATGGGAAGGATTTGATTTGAAGTGGCAAGAATAAAAGAGTTATAAAAGTGCACTCTCTCTCTTTCTCTCACGATAGGGAAGACGGAGTTATAGACATATGAAGCTTTCTCTTTGTGCGTGAGGGAAGAAGGAGAGTTGTAGCTCTCAAGCTATTCTTATTTACAAGTAAAGAGGCATGATAAGGACTTGTAGTGACAGATGCAAGTTGTAGCAAGTGTTTAAGATGAACTAGATCTCCAACTTTGGACTATGACAATGATCATGTTCTTGCTTCGAAGGGCTAAAGCTTAGAAGAGGAATGGCTTTTTTGAGAGGAGATGACATTGAAGGTATGAAGTGGAGGGGGGAGAGAGGAGAGAGGAGAGAGGAGAGATGGAGAAGGAATGGAGGAGAGATAGGGAAAGTGAGGAGGACAGAAGGAGATGAAGACAAAGAGTGTGTGTGTTAGAAGTGAAATTTTTTTATTTTTAATAAATATTAAAAAATACAAATGGTAGGACACACTAAACTTAATAGTAAATTAACAATGCGTGGATGGTAAAGTAATAAGGAAGAGAATTTTTAACATTGAATGACAGAATTAACTTGTAATTAAGTTTAGAGTGTTAAGTAACCTTTCGGATAAAGTTTAAAGATAAAAATGACTATCATCTCTTATTTTAAATTTTTAAACATTATAATTTATATTTAAAAATATATTTATTATAATGTGAAAAATAAATTTTAAAATAAAAAAAAAACAACCTTACATACCAACCGTCCTTTAAATAAAATTCAAGCTTAGAAGAATACCATTTTTAAGAAAATCATACTTAGCACATAAGGGTTCGGATCATGTGAGCCTGGCCGTTCGATACCCAACTCAGTCATAATTAAAATGTGGGAGGTCAAAATTGTAAATATATGCACGTACAGGGTCACTGATTTGTCCCCTCGGTTCAAATCCCGCATGGTGTATTTCTTAATTTAATTCAATTTCTCTCTCCTCTTAGCTGGCCTTGGCGACCACCAATTCACCATTCACCACCAACACCACCGTCGCCCCACTGTCGCTCAATTTGAAACTTAAATAACCATAAAAATCACGTGCTTTATAGAATCCCTACAAAACAAATAAATAATTAAAAAAAGTCGCAATTTTAAATTCAACGAGAAGGCCCACATGGTTTGTTCCGTGGACCAAACGAGGTTCAAGGAACATGCTCAGGAAACCGCCTGCCTCCTATATATTTCTCTCCCTCCTCATCATCACATGCTATTCAACCCCAAATTCAAAGTTTCTTTCGTCTTCAAGCATCACTGCGATTACTGGTCATCGCTATCATCAACAACAGTAAAAATGTCTACTTTTTCTGATACGGCGGCTCATGGCCGGAGGGTAGGCAAGCCGGCGGAGAGGTACAGTTTCTCCCAGACTTGCAATCTCATAAGCCAGTTCTTGAAGGGCAAGCGTAGTTCTGGTGCTCTGAACCTTGGAATGTGCGGGAAAAATGATCCCAGAGGTAGATTTAGTGTTCTTTCATCTCTTCTCTTTTTTAATCTGTGCCTCGTCTTGTCCACCAAGTTTTTGCGTTTTTTTACTTGAGTCGCAAATCAGAATGGTGAATGTTCCTGATAGAGTTATTGTTTTTTTTTTTCGTCCAGGAACTCCAAGTACTACGATGGATTTGTTAACGTCCCTGGAGAAATCTGATGATTCCTCGAGACAAAGTCCTTCAGCTATGGATTTTCTTCCTCAGATTGTAGAAAACCATTCTGTTATTAGGTGCGTGGCAATTTAAATTCTGCACATAATCGTTAGATGAAAGTAGCGGTGAAATCCTTGTGGCCTATTCGAGTCCCTATTCTCAGACTAACTTTTTTTTTTTATTTTTTATCTTACCTTACTATAACAGGTCGCAGGCCAAGGCAGAGTCTAAAACTCCCCAAATGGCAATATTTTACGCCGGGAAGGTGTTAGTGTTTGACGATTTTCTGCCGGAGAAGGCGACGGAGATCATGGAACTAGCCACCAAGTTAAGCTCTGATAATTCTGCGGCTCTTGAAAATATCAACGAGGTTAAGGTGCCTCAAACAGGCACATCCCAAGAAGCTTCTCGTCCAGGCTCTCTTGCTTCTGGTTCAGGTATTTAGCTATTCCCTGTTGATCCGAAGGAAGGACTTCGTCGCAATCATTTTGAAGTTCCTTACTGATTCTGGGTTTCAACTTTTGTCTAACAGACATAAGATACCCGAGGAGGGCCTCGCTTTTAAAATTTCTGGAGAAAAGAAAAGAAAGGTAAGGACGAGTTCCTGAATCAATAACGTGGGACTTACCACAATTTGTACTCTAACATGGGGTTTCTGAATCAATGGCAGATTAATTAAGTTAATTGATTAATTTTGCAGGGTCATTGCAAGAGGACCTTATCATATGAACCCGAAGCATGAAGGAGGCAGATCTGGAGGCAACCCTGAAGATCAACCTTGCAAGCCCTTTGACCTTAACTTATAGTGATTCTAGCTCATCACTTTTCGTTGATAGCATAGAAACAAAAAGAATTAAATCATAGTACGACTCTTGGCTTCAAGGAACGGCAACCCGTCGATGTTGTCTGTGTTTCACTTGTAATTTTTCCGCGAGCCTTCACACGTAAATACGAAATATTTGCACGTGTTTTACATCAATGTGTTATATCACTGCATAGAGACGATTATTTTATTGGACCAATGCGCCTGTTTGGTGGAGGGGGAATGAAATGAGGAGGGAAAGGGAGAGATACCAAAATTAGTTACCCCTGAATCATTTTTGTTCCTTCCAATATTATGGGCATTTGTGCCTTTTTGTATGCATTAATCTCTATTTTTTTTCTTAATTCTGTCATGCCAAGCATCAATTAACTATTTTGTTTTCTGCTCATATAAACAACAGCTTTCCACGCTTATCTTCTATTATTATCTCCTCCCATCTTGCTTCCATTAACATCTTTCCTCCAAAATTAATGAGAGTGTAAGTGTAGGTTGTTTAGCAGATTGATTAGTTGGAAAATTTTCAATGTCGAATAGCATTGGAAATTAATGAGGTGTGTACATCAGGAATAGATTCAGGAGAGCAAGCAAGGGTGCTTGTTTAGAATTGGTTCAATTTTTTTTTTATGGGGAAAATGATAAAATTAATTCCAACTTATTTATGTAATTTGAAACTTTGATCCCCCTCCATGTATCAAACCCTGGATTCATCTTTGCTGTTCATATACTCTTCATTACGTAAACGGTATCTCATGCATTATTTTACCAGCAAAACGCTACTACATTCATAAAACACTAGCATATCCCTTGCATGTATATCAATTGGAAAACATTCACACTTTTACAGTACTTTATATTCAATTAATTAATTAACTAATAATTAAATCAATGTGAGAAAAATTAGGCCTCTAAGAGAGCCTTCTAATAAATCATGCAATTAGCCTATCAAATAAAACGACGGAGAATTTCACCTGGGGCCCTTAAAATGAACTTCTTTATTGTTAAGGTTCAATACATTATGAAAATACACTCTAAGTTCAAGGTCCTTCAATGTAATAAAGTTTTAGGCAATAGTTACCAAAATGCCCTGCCTTTTTTTTTGTTACAAAAAAAAAAAAGGTGTCCCTGTTATTAGAGCCGTCGTGCCCGAGCTTGGTCACTAAGAGGCTTCCATCGTCAGTGGTCAAAGCTCTAGCGTCAGCACAATGGTCAAACATTGGGCAAATGTGGCAAGGGGCCAAGAGTGGATTTAAACCCTCGGTCCCTTGCTCCCCCAAAATTAAAAAAATTATTGAGGCAACAAACATCTTAATATATATTTATTTCGGTTAAACATTTTAAAATATAATTTTTGCATTTTTTTAAAAATGCCTCTGATAAATAAATTACTTTATATTTATTTTAAAATAAAATATTTTATTAAATAAAAGTAAATATCAAAAGGCGGTGTTGATTTGAAGATAAGTACTCTCTTCGTCTCAAATTATAAAATATGTTTAAACAAAATCTCACCTACAATAAAGTTCATTAAATACACTTTACAACCTTACTTTTTTAAAATAAAAAATATAAACTTTCAAAAATATCCTTCACTTAATACCCCATTGATGAAAGAATATTGAAAAGAAAGAATATATGAAAAAAGTAATATTGAAAAATTATTATTGATGAAACCTTATTTTTATTTACATGTCTTATATTTTGAAACGCTGAATCTTTCCCAAAAATGTCTTATAATTTGGAATGGAGGGAGTAACTTTTTTATTGATGAGTGAAATTTGATCAAAAATATCTTACATTTTTGAACGAAAATAGTAAATGCAATATATATATATATATATATATATAATAGTTTTGAATTCCAAGCATTTTGATATGTTATTATTGTATATCTTGAATGTATTGTTGTTTATATTTGAAAAATCACTTATAAATATTCAAACACGATTTGTTTATATATAAAAAAGGGTTAATTTTTAAAACCCAACTTATTCTATTTTTTTTTAACTTGTTCCTTCAATGTTGTCAAGTTATTAATATTATGCTTAATAAAAAATATGGGTTAAAGTGTATTTTTATCCTTGAACTTTTTTTTAGGAATGTTGGACACTCTATATTGATAAGTGGAGCAATTTTATTTCTGAACTATTTTTTTAAGAGAAAAAAACCCCATTTTGTTAGTTAACAGTTAATTTTTTTGTTTTTTACTAATGTGACATGCACAATGGCATACAAGACTTTAATCATGTTCTTTGATGCTAATTTATCTCTAAACTCATTTTTTAAGAACATTTCTCTTTCTAGAAGTATTAAGCACCCTAAAGTCTTGTTAAATTTAAATTTAATAAATATTATTAAAATATTTATTATTTTAATATTTAATAATTTAAATATTATTATTTTTAATATTCATCTAAAATTTATAAATTATTTTTTAAATATTAGCAGTTTAAACTAGTGTTTTAGAAATTTATTGATGACTTATAATATTTTTATATATCGATCATATTTTTAATATTGATTGAGTTTCTTAAATTTTTATATCATTCTATATAATTTATTTAATTAACTAACTGTCATATTTCAAAATATTATACCACCAAATTTAATATTTTAATATTTTTGATATTTTATAATTTTGTATTAAAAATGAAGGAAATGAACCTCCAAATTAATGAAAAATTTTTGCTTCTCATATCTTCATTTTTATCTTGTTAAGTAGTTTTTTTGTAGCACAGTAATAAAATAAGCGATATCTTTTAAATAAACATCTTTATTAGCATATTATTGATCTTGATTTGTTATATTTTTTATTTTACTCCTAACACTATAATGTTCAAAGAATATTAAATTTAGATATTACAATGTTTTGAAAGAAGATAGTTAGCTAACTAAAAAATTATAGAAAATGATATAAAAATTTAAGAAATTTAATCAATATTAAAAATATAAGTAAGTTTTGACTTACATAAAAGACATAATGATTTGTACATTGTTTAAAAAAAGATTAAAGATTAATATATAAAAAATAAGAAGTCATTTATAAATTTAAAAATGTTAATTTGAATTGTTAATATTTAAAAAGTAATTTATAAATTTTGAATGAATATTTATAAATAATAATATTTAAATTATTAAATATGAAATTATTTAAAATTTTGAAAATATTTATTAAGTTTTATTTTAATAAGAGTTTAAGGTACCTAATATTTCTAAAAAAAATTTAGAGTACCCAGTGCTCTTAAAAAAGGAGTTTAGAGACAAATTAACACCAAAAGACATAATTAAAAAGTCTTACTTGCCACCATGCATGAGCCCCACGCATATGCCACATTAATAGAAAATGTCAAAGTTAATGGCTAACCAACAAAATGTGTTTTTTGCTCCTTGAAAAAATAGTATATGGAAAAATTGCTCCACTTGTCAGTATATGGTGCCTACTTCTCCTAAGAAAAAGTTCAAGAAAAATGCATCTTAACTCTAAAAAATATGTTATAAATTTATTTTTCAAGCATTTTCGTGAGCTTTTGTATATCTTGTTATTAATATTCGAACAGTTACCTATAAACATTAAAAAAGTTGTTGGTTTTTAAAATCTGACTTATTCTATATTTGACAACTTATTCTCTTAAGATTGACAGGTTATTAATATTATGGTAAATAAAAGATGTATATATTATAAATTTATTTTTAAAATATTTTCATGAGCTTTTGTTAATCATGGATGTCTTCTTATTAATATTTGAATAATTACTTCTAACTATTCGAACATGACTTGTTAATACATTAAAATAGTTGTTAATTTTAAAAACCTAACTTGTTTTATTTTTTTTTTTTTACACCTTGTTATCTAAATATATACTATGCTATAAATGAATTTTACAAAAGCCCATGAAAACACTTAGATTTTAAAAATTAATGACTTTTTTCATGTATGAACAAATTATGTTTGAATATTTTAATTATTCAGATATTAATAACAAGATGTCCATAATTAACAAAGCCCATGAAAAATAAACTTATAACATATTTTTTTATTTAGCATAATGATAACTTGTTAACATTGAAGGAACAAGTTGTAAAAAATAGAATAAGTCAGATTTTAAAAATTGATAACTTTTTTTATGCATGAATAAGTCATGTTCAAATATTTACGAGTAATTATTTAAATATTAACAACAAGACATCCATGATTAATAAAAGCTCATGAAAATGCTTTGAAGATAAATTTATAACATATATATTTTATTAATAATATTAATAACCTAACAATATTGAAGGAACAAGTTATAAAATATAGAATAAGTTGGGTTTTAAAAATTAAAAATATTTTTATGTTTGAATGAGTTATGTTCGAATATTTACAAATAATTGCTTGGATATAAATAATAAGATGTCCAAAATATTCAACACTCAATGAAAATGCTTAGAATTCAAAGTTGTATTCAGGTATTTGTTGACTTAATAGTTTTCTTAATTTTAGGGAACCAATGGGTTAAGGGTTCAAATCCACCCTTAACCCCTTGGCACATTCAACCAATGTTTCACTATCGCGACAATCAATGATAGTAGCCTCCTGCCTGCAACAGAACTTTAACAACCGGCATGGTGGCTCTAGCAGCTAGTGACAATGACACTTCAAAAAAAAAAAGATAGGGCATTTTGGTAATTGCAACCTAAAATTTTATTACACTGGAGGTGTAACACCCTAACTTTACTAACTAAAATCTTAACCAAATACTATGATAACAAAATGATTTAAACCATTAAAAATAATTATCATAGTGTAAAAGTTTAAAACAAATTCTCAAATTTATGTTTACACCATGGTAGAAAAGAGTTGATCTAACTTTTAAAGAACTACCATGGTTATTAAAAGAAAATCATCTAATAAATAGACACTTAAAAACTAATTTTGGTAAAAAAGGATTAGCTAGTTAAAAGTAGCTACCAAGATTATAAGAGTCTAATGTTAATATTTCTTTTTCATAAAGTATATATACAAGCTTATCATAGTCTATAGATATGCATGTCATATCCTATAACAAATATTTAAATATTATTTCTCTCTAAAATTCTCAACACTAAAGTTTTATAATAAAATATTTATGTGAGATAAATCAATAGTCAATAAATAATAAAAAATTTAACAAATTAATCCCAAATAACAAACAAATCATAAATTGGCAATTAATCATTTTACAAACTAAAGTAGGACTTAGGGTTTACTCAAGTTAAGCCCAAAGCTTCCAGACTCTTCTGTTTTGCTTTGCTAGACTTATCTAAAAATGTTAAAGAAATGGGTGGGCACTTGCATTTCAAAAACTCCAAGTTTTATCATACATGTACAAAGTAACTACTCATAAACAACATTATATGCATGCATATAATTTCATCATCATTATTCAAT